GCATTAATATAAATTTTATTTTTTAAAATTTAGTAAAAGTGTAGAAGTATAAATAATATAAATATTCTTATATATAATATAATATAAATATTCTTATTACGATAATTGCAGCTTTTAAGATAAAAAGATAAGATAAATATTTAAAAATTTGATATATTTAAAAAAAATTGAAAAGCTTAGAATATTTTTTCCAAGAAAGAGATCTCTAATCTATATTTAATATAAGTAAATAAAAATTTAGATTAATCTCATTAATAGAAATGTGAGATTTATGTCACAAAAAATTGGATTCTAGAAAAAACACTTTTAAAAAAATATTAAAAAAATATAAAATATAAAAAAATATAAAAAAATCATATTCCAAAATATAAAATGAGTCATATAATTAGCCGTATAATATAAAGAGCGGTTGGCATAGTATATGCATATTATGTAAGTTATACATATGTCGGTGAATCATCAACAGTTTGCGAGATCATATTCACCGATCATGAGAAACGAAATTGTGTGACAGTTTCTTGAAGATGAAACGAAAGATTGTGTTAACCGGATGGGAGATCAGATCAAAAGTGAAGGATCGACGAAGAAATGGTATTTATATAACAAAAAATACACAAAAGAAATGTTTTTAAAAAAGTGTAGATATTCAATTTTGTGGAATTTTCAATCTTCGAGTGATTTTTTTATCTTTAATGTCGTACGGGTATAGAAAAATGTTTGATTTGAAGATACATCGTTCAAGGAATTTGAAAATTATACCATTGATTAAAAATCAACACGAATGTGAAAACAAATCAAATAATATGGAAAAAGAAATAATCGAAGAAGGCGATATTTTAGAATTAGAACCAGTGATGGTTCCATCTGGTAATTATTTCTTTTTATATCTAAATTTTACTCAATATGTTCGAATGACTTAAAAGAGATATAATTTTATGTTAAAAAATACAGAAAATGTTTAAATGAAGTAAATAGAAAATTTAAAAATTGATATCAAAGATTAAAACAAAAGTCGATATGCAAAAATATTCAATAAAACTTATTTTTCAATTTATAATCTATTTAATTTTGTACTAGATAAAGATGATAGAAACGATTTTATCTTTATCATATTCTATAAAATTACTTATAATTTGAAAAATTACTTATATACTTATAAGTTTCAAAATAAATTCAATATATTTATCAATTTTTGTTTATGTCCAATATCTAAGATCATTTTTGAAATTTTATATTTACTTTTGTATATAAACTTGATTTAGAATCTATTATTCTTTTTTACTTTTATTTTATTTTTCATACATTGAATATTATTTTTTTAAAATATATAAAACTAAATAGGTATATCATTTTCATTAATATTATTATTAACATTAAAAGTTACTTACATATAATTGTACTTCAAACAGAATCAATGGCGAATTCAGCAAAACAAGATCCCTAATTATAATTTCTATAACATTCAAAGAAAAGAGAGAATAAATATAAAATATTAATTATATTTATTTTTTTTTAAATATAATAATAACATAAAAAATATAATTTGAAAAAAAAATATATAATATAAAAAATATATATGTAAAGTAAAATATATAAATAAAAATACATCATAATAAAACAATATTATATTAGAACATAAAAATAAACAAAATTTTCAAATAAAATTTTTAAATAATATAATCATTTTCATTTTATTATTTTCAATAAATAAAATAGTTGCTGTTTTGATGAAAAATTGTTTTTTTTTAATAAAAAATTTGTTTATTTTTCTTTTTTCAATTCTTTTTTCAATAAAAGAAATGAAAAATTGTAATATTTTAATCGACTTTTTTGAAGCTGTTTTCTTTGAGTTAAAGGCTCTTGGCTTTGATTGCCAAACTTGTTAAATCAATCACTGATTTAATACAAAATTAATATAATAACTAATTAATATTTTAATTGAAAGAATTTATACTTATTATTATTCAGATCCATCAGAATGGAACTCAAATCACATCATATCATGGATTTCATGGTGCACTAAAGCATTTTCTATAAAACCAATACCGAATACGATCAAATTTCCATTAACTGGCAAAGAATTATTAAAATTATCGTCTGATTATTGGGAAACCATTCCTGGTGGAAAAATTTTAGCGCGACATCTTGGCTATCTTCAGTTCCAGGCAACCGGCATACAGACTCCAAATTTATTACAAGAAAAGAAAAACGATGGTAAGTAAACAGAATTTTAATTGAAAATAGATATAGTATTATAAAATGAATTTTCAACTAAGTTATGTTGAAATTTGATAGATAACTATAGTTATTTTTGATTGTAACATTTTATATTTAAATAAATTTTAAATAGTTAAAAATTTTCAGCACTTATTTATTTCAATATAATTGAAAATAAATAAATTGAAATACAAAATAAAAATGACTTCTTATATTATTATTATACTAAAAAAGAGATATAAAAATTCTATTAAAAAAAAATATTAAAAATTTATCACATAAGCTATTAACACATTCGTAGAAAATTTTTGGAAAATCAATTAATAAAGGCCAAAAGAAACACAAAAGTTAATATATAAAAATATCGATAATTAAAATGCCGGAAATTTATTTATTAAGTTATAAATTTTGAATTGAAATTCATGTTAAATGAAAAGATGAAATAAAGACAACTTTATCTTCGTCACATATTATCTTCTACTTATATCTTCGTTTTCCTTCATCTAAATTTTATGTAAATTTTTTTTTTTAATTGTGTATAATTTAATAAATAAATTTCAATCGATATTTTTTACATAAAAAAATTTTGTGTTTTTATAGTCTCCAAAGGTGTTCTATAAATATATTAATTTGTAGATAATCTGTATTTTTTTTTTAATATTTGTTATGATAGACTTTAATATTTTTTTTTTTAATTTCCATTGGATTTTAATTTATTTCTAATAAATCTAAAAATTTTATTTTGAAAAAAATGAAGGAAAAGAAGAGAGAAAATGAAATATGTAAAAATATTTTTTTAAATCTCTTTTTAAGATTTATTTGTAATTTATGTTTTCATATATCTGATAATTAATGAAATTCATTATTTTTATTAATTCATAAAAAGTTATAAGTAAATAATTTAAAAGAAAATGATAAATTGAAAAAATGAATAAAATTAAAAATATATCTTTTTAAGTATGTATTTACATATGTATGTAATTATATTATGGCATGATATATGATATAGATTATCGAATGAATATAAATCTAATATCTTATATTTTTTATTTTAAAAAGAAATAGAAGTCCACAATTAAATGTAATTTTTTTGAAATTTTATTTTTGAAGAGAAAGGGGAGAGACTTATTTTTTTCTATTTTTCTATTTTATAATTTGCTATTGTTATTAAAAATAAAATATTAGATATTATGTAAATAATAAGTACTAACTTATTCATTTTATCAAAAATGTATTTTTGTATAATTATATATGCATAAGCGAAAGAGAATTACATATCAAAAAGAATTATTGAAAAAACAAAAATACTCAAAGAAAAAATAAAGAAACATTATAGAAATAATAAATATTTAACATTTATTTTTTTTTTAAATAAACATAATATATACATAATATATATATATATACAGAATATTTAACATACATTTTTTATTTTTTTATTATTATTTTCATTCAAAATTAGAGATTAAAATAATATTATACATCGATTATAATTTACAAAAATTGATATAAGCATTAATAGAAACACTGATAGAATTCCCAATAGTAAATCCAAATGACGTACGATCCAGGAGCTTAGAAAAGGTTAATAGGGGTTCAGGTTGGATTGAAAGTGACCGGAAGAGGCTAACCATTCCCCAGGGTCAATTCTAGTCCACTCGCGAACCTTATCTTAGGCTTTAACGAGGGCGCGATCTATTAGAGATAAGAAGGGTCCGGCAGAAAAATAAATTTCATAGACGATAATAGTCTCTTGCTCCATTTTTTATTCTTATCAAGCTTTCGATGAAAAAGAGATGTCGATCATTTGTATTATTAATCATTTATTCCATTCATCTTAATTTTCTCGATCGTTTCTTCGAAATCGAAGATGATCCAAATCGATAAAAGAATACTCGTATTTTCAATTTTGAAAATTTAAGTTTTATAGAAGAAAAAATTCAAAAATTCAAAGAGAGAGAAAGAGAGAAAAAAGAAATAGGATACGCAATAATTTAGAGATAGATCTTGGAACAAGAAATATTTATTTATGTATATCTGTCTACTCGAATCTCGTTTCAACAGTAACCAGCCAAAAGTTATTCCAATCTTTTTGCGCTTGGTTGCAAAGAGTACCAACTAGAGGTGATTCCCATTGGCGAAAGAGAAAAAGAGCGATCCGGCTTTCGGTAGACGGGTGAGAAGCGAGAAGAGCGAGAATCTTGGCAGTGTAAGCCTCCGAGATATATCGTCCGTTTGAATAACGTTGTAGGTACTCTTGGGGGTACACTCTGGGCCCGGCAGCGGCCGTTTATTAAACGAATCAGTGTTATCGTGGTGAGAGAGCTCTCATGAATAAACCATCGAGTGTTTAGGGAGGCGGAAAGGTGGTGGCACCACTACGCTTGGGGTTACGGCCTCGTAGTAACCGCTACCACCCTTCTCCTTGCCATCTATCCTGGCGCGGGAGGGGATGGAAAACTCAAACGGGCTAGGGATGGTAAGCTCGCCACGGGGTGCGACTATATTGTTTTCTTGATGAGCGTGAAACATCTCCTGAATCTTTAGCGTATACAGGATAATTTCACGCGTCATCTAGATACATCGTGAAACTTTTGCAATGTGAAAACTATCTAAATCGTAACTTCATATTATTATATATTTGTCAATTTTTAAAAAATTTTTTTTATCTTTTAGAAATAGAACTTGAATCTTTATATCATATAGTATACAAATATATTTACATGTTCTTATATACACAGATTTATGCTAATGATCGAGAATGATTTTTATCTTTCTTTAATTTGATAATGAATTTAAATATTATATTTATTAGGTACATATTTATATTAATTGAATATCTAATTGATTTGATGTTAATTATAATATGAAATTATTATAAATTTTTTTCTTTATCGATATTTGTATCGATATTTTGTGCAATTTATGATATGATATATTAAGAAACTTTTGGATTAAATTGTAGATATGTAGTTGAAAATATTAAAAATTTATTTATATTAATTTTAATTAAATAAAGAATTATTAAATTTGTAATAAAAATTACTGGCGATTTAAATTAATTTTTTATTGATTTAAAATCAAATTAATGATATATAAAAATTAAATCTTTAATATTTTTTACTGATAAATCTTTTGTAAAATTATATTTATTTTATTTATTTTATTTATTTTATTTATTTATTTTATTTACTTCAAAAGAAGAGAAAAAAGAAATAAATATTATTGAAAATTCAATTGCATATAGGTATAGAATTGCATATATATATATATTTTAAACAAATTGCAAATTAATTTCAATTTTCAAATAAAAAACATAATAAAAATTTTTATTAATTTATTATAAATATCTGTATTTATTAATCTATATTACATAAAAGAAAATTCGTGAAAATAATAAATAAGTTTAATGAAAAATCTTTTACGAATGCCTTTATTTAAGGTAATCAAAAATTTATTTAAGGAATTCAAGATATTTCAAAAAAAAATAAATAAAAAGAAATGATTTCAAAGAAAAGAAATTTGAAATTTAAAAAATTTGAATTTGATTATGTCTCCTTGTATTGGTTCTTTGCGATGATAATAATAAAAAATCCAGAAGTACAATCGTATACTCTACGAAGACGTCTATGGGAGTTGGAGTGGGGGCGATAAGGGCTGAAATCACCGGGGGCAAAGGTCGCTCAGTTACTCTCTGTCCACCGTCTGGCACGTTTTATTCCGTATATATCGACACTTTATCGATATCCTTAATCGAAATTTTATACGATACTATTCGTGCATGTACACAAATTTGTGCGCATAACAAACGTGAACCATCTGGTTTTTTTTTTCTTTTTTCCATTAATACAGTTTTTACTCGATAATAAAAATCATTATCAAAAAAAGATATAAAATTATAATAAAATCCTCAAAAAGATAATATTTTAATAATAATTTATCTGTACATATACTGTTTTTAATTGAATATTATTTTAAGGAAATAAGTTAAATAAGTTTAAAACTATTAAATAAAATAATACGATAAATAAAAAAAATAATACAAAGAATAATTTAAATACAAAAAAATTTGTGAATTGAAAGTCGAAATGGAATTTTAATTTAAGAACGGACTTTATTTCGAATTAAAGGAAATTGTTTTATTGTTATATGCTTTGTATACCAATCTTCGAATTTGTGACAAATTATTTTGAAAAAAAAATTAAATCTAAATTAATATAAAAAGACTTGAAAATTAAGCAATAAAGAATGATTTCAGTATTATATATCTTCGTAATGAAATTATTAACGGGCCTGCCTATCACCGTTGTTCATGCGGTGAAGGATTAAGGCATTGTTAGACGCGTAATGTGGAGAATTCAAACACATCCGTTGCATCTTCAGCAGGATACCAGATTTCATCCTTCGGCAGCTGCTATTCTTTACAACGGTACTTATCTATCATTGTGTCATATTATGATTTTAT